CCACAAACCCCCCTCTGCTTTTCTCTTTTCCCCCACTTCCACCCCCCACACCCCCCCTCTCCCTCCCCCCCCCCCCCCCCCCCCCCCGTTAAAAAAAAAAAGGCCAAAAAAGAAAAACAAAGTTTTTGTTTTTTTGGGCGGGGGGGGGGGGGGTTAAGCAAAGTGCATAATGGGGGATATGCAAATGGTGAATAGAATTAAGAAAATATGGAAATGGTAATTGTCTCACGGAATTGATCTACGGTCGACTCTGCATCCAAACAAGTAGAAAAGATCACTTTCACCCATAATGGAAAAACAGCGATAACTGTGAAGAAAAAAAAGAATATTCTAGAATATATCTCTTGCCTCTGCCCTTTCCTTGCAGCGCTGTGCAATGGTGTTCGGCCAAGATCGTCTCGTGCATTTACTTCAGACATGCGCTTTGCCAGAGCTTCAACGTGTTTTGATGAGGCCTTTTCTGCTGCAAGGTGAAGCGGTGTCTTGTTACTCTCATCGTTGAAGCACAAGCGCTTCTGCTTGGATAAGACGAGCTCTAAAATCTACAAACATGAATCCGCATGCCAGAGTCAGTGTCATTTATTGATCTCCTACACTACAGGCGAATCTCTATTAAGCGGCCTGTCATTAATTCTTTAAGCTCCAATAGTGAACAGCTGCCAATTTCTCCCAACAACACGCTACAGGTCACGAGAATGAACGAAATGATTACTACAGATGAAATGTCTTGATGTTTGAAGAAATTTTCTCGAGCAGTACCAGAAGAATGTATAAAGAAAAGTGCAGAGATACTGGAGCTAAAAGGTCAAGCTGCCATCTATCGGTAAGTTCCTAGAGTATCGACGGACAAACTGGTCAGTACATCACTTAACACATAACGCCTAATATAGAGTGAGTTCGACTGTTTTAAAATTCAGTCAACTCTTTCTCAATGGACACCTCCCTGAAGTGTACAGCTGAAAAGATGGTCCATGCCTAAGAATGTCTGTCCTAGAAAAAAAACTGACTGATGTAGGCTCCCTATCACATAAATGGCATTCCCGTCCGCCACCACCATTTGCAAACATGAGAGAGTCTGACTACCAGACTACCTTCCCTGATGTCGGGAAGGTGTACATTTGGAAAATAGCTATGACTTGCGATTCATTAACCAGTTAGCCGGGAAAAGTATTTTTTCGAACGAATTTTGCGTTCTGCCTTAAATACAGTACGGCGAACCTCTATTAAAGATATCTCTATTAAGCTGTTAGCCTCGAAGAAAGAACAGGTGGCTGCTTTATAGAGGTACTGTTTACGGTGATTTACTGAAACTTTTCTCCGCCTAGACTCTGGTAAAAAGAGAGTAAAATAGTGGTGGCTTATAGAACACCCCTTTTTTAGAGGTTCGACTGTATTATAGTCACTTCTATGTAAAAGCGCCGTTGTGTCAAGTTCTCTGGCGGTGATAAAAAAGTGCTGCTTTCTAACAGTTCCGTTCCAACGTTACCTTGATGTCTCTCGTCTTCGCCGCGTAGTGCAGAGGAACTCTATCCTTCAAATCTCCTCTGTTTAAACAGCTTACCCCCGCACGACTTTCCAAAAGCATTGATAGCATCTCTAAGTGCTCGTTCTCTACTGCAATATGAAGACAGGTTTTCATATGCAAGTCCGCTGCGCCCAAATCCGCTCCAATTTTGAGAAGAACTCGGGCGCAGTCCACGTGCCCAGCAGCAACAGCATTCAAGAAAGGAGAACGTCCTTCACTGTCACGAGCATTAATTTTTGCCTCCTTTTCCACAAGAAATTCAATAAGGTTTAACTGCTTAAACATAGCGGCCCTACATGGAAACGATAAGCAAAGGGTTAGTTAAGTGATTGAAGCATAAAATTTACGAAACGCTGTTTTTTACTTTTCCAGTTCCAGACTGGTAATTAAGAAGACAACATGGAGATACTTTTAAGGTTCTGCAAAACTAGAACATTAGTATTGTCATGCCGGGAACATTGATTTGCGAATTAACCGACATGCATCTGGAAATAAGAATGTTCTTCACTAATTAAATAATCATTTTTCTTGAGACCTAGAACGAAAATTTGCGTTTGTCCGATTTGTTTCACATGCGACTACCTGACAAACATTTAGGTCACCCACAACGTTACCACCAAAATGCTTCTAGTTTAGCCTTTTTTTTCCCTATTTTTTTAGGCTATGGACAAAATTCTATGGAACGTTTATTCAACACTTAAAGTTCTCAGTATTGCTTAGTCTGAACAATCTTTATTCAATGCAAATTGAATTAACCTGTGGAGAGGTGTTTTGGAGTTCCCGTCTTTCTTGTTCACATCAGCACCTCTTGAAATAAGCAAATCCGCCACCTCAAGATTTCCTTTCATTGCCGCTATGTGAAGGGCAGTGACCGAGCCACACTTAAGATAGTCGACATCAGCGCCTTTCTCAAGGCATAACTCAGCAGTATTGACGTCATTATTCCATGCGGCCATGTGCAAAACTGTGGTGTCCTGTAAGTCACAAGTTCCCATAAGTTCTTTCTCGTTAGTATCTACATCTCTGTCGGCAGCTGTAAAGTACAAAAACAATGACAGCAAGATAAGAGGAGAATTCACTTACATAGTGCACCTTCACCAAACGATCGCCCCATTATTACGACCAAAGACGACTTTTAGGAGTCTAGTCCCCAGGCTCTATGCTCTCTACAATCTCACTATGTTTACACTAGCCTAGGTAGGTGGCGGGATTTATCTGCCCTACTGCTTCTTTCTGTGAGTGCTGTTGCTGTTTTTGTTTGGGGTATAAAGCAGCGAGAAAATAGGGAAGAGTCAAACTGAGATCCCGCAGCAGGCAAAAAACGTCGCCGCTAGCTACAGTGTACGCGCGGCGGCTAAGGCACTAACCTATTCTCTTGCCGCCAGATAAGCAGGTTGATACGATCAGGCAATGTCTCCATAAAGTTCTTAGTAGTGCATAATTGAACGTTTAAGTGAAATGTGTGCTATCCAGCAAATTAGCAGTCAGCATTTATCTGTCATCGCCAGAATTTCACAGAGGACTTGCATTACAGTGAGACGCTTCCAGATTTATATGACTAACTCGTTAGGAAGACCTAAATTTAATGACCCACAGGGAGTGGTTCGATAATAAATAAATAAATAAATAAGGACTCTTTACACTCCAAAGGAATCACTTCAATTACTGTTAAATCAATAACCTCTAACCTCGCTTCAAAATCATCATCGCAACCTCTGAATGCCCACTGAAAATGGCACTGTGAAGCGGAGTTGTCTTGTCCGCTGAAATCGCTTTTATGTCCGCTCCGAAGTTCAACAAGATTTGACAAACCTTTCTGTGACCTTCGCTGCAAGCAAAATGAAGAGCAGTTTTTCCAGAATTATCTTTAGCGTCAACCTCAACGGAAGGTTGATCCAAAAGAACTTTAACGATCTCTTCATGTCCTCCACGCGCCGCCAAGTGAAGTGGGGTGTTCCCATTTTTCCCTCTCAGGGAGGGATCAGCGCCTCGTGGCAGAAGAACATCGACAACAGTGGAGAGACCATTGAATCTAACACAAACAAGAGGACTTGGTTAAACCAGTAGCTTGAATAATACCACTCTATTAGGTCCCTAAATGAGCTAATCAAACAAAATATAGAAAAATGTACTCCACTATTCCCGATACGTGTTCTTGGAGACGTGTGATTTTGTTGCGTTACATTGTAGTTCTAGAGAGGTCACAATACTTATTTTCTTTTGCTAGCGAAAGAAGTGCGTGACGATAAAATGTGGCGCAACTCTTTCGAAAGAACTCCTCTTTTAAACGTGCTTGTTTGGTGGCTGTCCATCGTGTCGAAGAAGACTGTGTGTCGTGGACTGCGTGTTGTGTGATTATCCATGGATTCTCTGGTGGCTCTACAAACCCAATCTGGAAGCGCAGAGTCTGGAGCAGGTGGGATACTGGAACTCCGTTGTTGTGATATCAGCAGAGAATGCTCTTTGGCGTCGTTGATAGGCTGCCAACAGAGACCCCTAAGCAACAGGGCCCGGTTGCATAAAACGCCCGTAACAGTTACGGGTATACGTACGTGTGCACGTAACTTAAGAGAGTTATCACTTACGTGGTCCACTTAGGGATTTCACTTAAGTGACTGCGCGTACGATTTTCGTAAGTATCCACCCACGTTTCATTTATGCAACAGAAATTGCGCGGGGTGTTGCATAAAACTTGCAACAAACATTATCAGTAAATATTGCAGTATAATAACGATGGCATGCAAACGTATTTCAACGAAAGTCAACGGACTTGATCAGGTTGCACTCAAAGGATATTCAGTGAAATGTCAATCTTCTTTGCTCAATGATCTAAAAATATTCAAAAACTGTCATCAGCTTCAATGGATTATAAGGATTGTGAAAAGAACGAACGAACAAATTTCCCGCGTTTTTGTCGACTCTCTTCAGTTTCACTGATGTCGTCTTGGTAGCCTTTATATCAGCATTGCTGCTGTCGCCCGTAGCTTCTTCTTTATCATCGTTTAGATAAACAAGGGAATTGTGCAGATGAACAAGGCTTTAACCCCAGCAAACAAACGCCGAATTTTAAGACGGATGAAGTCAAATTTTTTCTCTGAGGTAAAAAAGAGAAAGATGACTCTATTCGGTATTTTATCTCCTACACTGAAATCTATATTGAAAATGCAAACATGGTTGGAGGTTCGTAACCAGTTAGTAGCCGCCGGGTTCCCACCAAGAACCAAGGAACAACTTAAAAAGAAATGGCAGGGCTTGTCGTCAGCCACTAAACCCAAACACACCAAACGAAAGAAGACTGGGGGTGGTGCAATAGAGTGGACTGATGTTGACGAACTAATCACCGAGATACTCGGAAAAGAAAATCCCTCCCTCGTATAAAATCCAAGCCAGTGAACACACCCTTGATGCTTCAAGTGACGCTAGTGAGAAAGACAGCCTATCGTCAACTTCTTCGTACCTTCCAGTGCGCCCAGATAGGATGGTTGGATTGGAAAGTGGCAAGGAAACTTCAGAGAACAAGCAAGAAGAAAGCCGTTTAAGGGAAGAGCAAACAACTGAACCAAACTGTGATTCCGACACTGTTAGGGAACAAAGACATAGAGAATGGGACATTGAGAAGGTATATGAAGAGTATTTAAAAGAAGAGCATGAAGTTAAAATGAGAATTCTAAAAGAGAAGGAACAACTGCTTGATCTTAAGTTGTTTAGACGAAAACTTAACACTGACGAGTAGTTTTGAACCTGTGTAGATATTACCTTAAATAAACTATTTTTTATTATGTCGAAACTTCTCGGTCGATTTTTTTTTGCTAAATGATGACACCCTTTTTTCTGTTTATATAAAACGTTATCTCAACCGGCTGAATTTCCCTAATCATCTAACAGAGGCTTAAAAGTGTTCGAAACGATCAGCTTATTTCTTTACACCCATCAAAAAAAAATAGAGAGTGAGTCATTAATAAAGTACTATATCAAAGTTACCTGCGCCCTTAAGTGAGCCCGTAAGTTACCACGAAACAGAAACTTACGAGAGTGCTAAGTGCGTTCCATGCAACACCCGTAAGCGTACCCATAACGGATTCGTAAGTGACCTACTTAAGTGAGCACTTAAGTGCAGGTTTTATGCAACCGCGCTCAGGACAGGAAGAGACGACGGGGGCGGGAAATCCGTTGAAAGACTGGGGAGAGACTACCGTCGCGCTCTACTCGCGCGTCTTTTGCAAAAGCAGATAAAACAGAACTAAACAAGCATAGCAAAAAAAAAAAAAACAAGTAAAATAAAGGCAGGACAAAACAGGTTTAAGACCAGAGAAATGCTAAAGCAGTTGCGACGAGAAGGAGACGATACTCGTTGCATTTGGAATTAATTTTAAAGCCAAGAGCATATAAAAATTCATGCATGCCCTTTGAAAGCATAAATATACCTTGTACATCAACGAGAATTCGCTTGAAAGCCATCCGTCACTCTGCAAGTTTCTTGTCATTGTTCTCTCTAGTGAACTAAACACCCTTGACGTTATTTCTGACGGTAGAGGACAAATAATTACTAAAGCTTCATAATTTTCCTGTTTTTTTTGCTGCGGAGCGACCGAAGGGAGCGAGCAGCAACATAATCAGGATTTAAAGGAAATATATAAGGGGCGACGAATTCTCGAATTCATCACTTTTTACCACAATGCATTGCATTTAACCACACTTTTTACCAGAATGCATTGCATTTAACCAGAGTGCATTGCGCCACGAACATCTCAAATAAAAACACGGGGAAGTTCGGTGGGTGAGAGAGTGCATCGTTCGCTGCTCAGACTTAGAGTTTTCTTTGTGGCAAATTTTCTACAGCACGGTTAGAGGTCTTACCAAATTTTAAGACATGCAGGAGTCTTTCAGATGAGTACGATGGTTAACTTGGGGATTGGATTTCAATTCAAGAGCCTTTTTTGCTCTTCGACTCCGCAACGCGGGGGATATACAAATTCCAGCTTGCTAGAAGGTGATGTGAAAGTGAGAAAATGTCATGCAATGCTATTCTTAAGAAACTGTATGAGCCGAAAATGGATGTGATTTTGACCATTCGCTTCAAAATAACAGCGGAAATCGAGATAACAAAACATATGTTTTGTGTCCTACTTTGCAGACGAGGACGTGTATCGGCGTTTTGAAAAGCATAATTATGTTCTTTCATTCATTTATTGCCATGGAATATGCGTTTACATTGTTTTTTCACTGTTAATAGCTCGGTTAATGCGGCTGGCGATCATCTTGCTGGCGGAAGTTTCATGGAAAAGGAATAAAATGAAAGACTTTCCTAAAGACTACGTATTCTGTCTCTGTGGTGTAGTGGTTAAGTGTAGTCGCGTCGAGTCGAAGGTGCTGGGTTCGAATCCTGCTGAGTTATTTATTCCTTCTTTCTTTTTTTCCCCGTTTTTTGTGTTGTTGTTTTCTATAAATATATAGCTAAATAACTGTTACTTAATAAATTGCAACAAACAGCAAGAAAAGTATCGTGTTTCCAGAGAAAATATCGTGCACTGTATATTAAATATATAGATAAACGATCTGAATTTCTATTATTTCCTACAATTTACTGTGGGAAAACCAGAGTTGATAACCACTTGATCATTTTCTAAACAACGTTCCCACGAGTTCTTTCTATAGACTGATAGTAATTATTCTAGTACTTTCCAACATGTAAATAGGACATTCAATGTCATTTTTGATTCTTTTAAGTCTCACTGCCTAACTAATGCCAGTATCAACAGAATGTGCCGCAGCATTACTATCTTTTAGATACCCTAGTTTTATCCATATATTTCTCGGGAAAATGAAAACAAATGACTTAACACAAAGTATTATTCCTATGACAGATTTTGCTTTCACATCATCTGCTGTAAAGAATATTGTATTTGCTCTGCAAAGAAAAGAGCGATCGCCATTGAAAATATAAACATTAGAGATCTTAGCTTAACGAGACGGTTTATTTAAGCTTGAGGCTTTCTCTGCTTCAGGAACGAGGTTGATCTTATAATAGGGAACTTAAGAACCACGACGAAGTTCACGACGACGACGTCTGCTGACTGGGAAAAGACTGGAACGAGAACGTCAGTTTCGGCGGGAAAAAGGAAACTTAAGATGCAGACGGTCGGTAGGTGGACGATTACGACACTGAATGCAAACGCAAATGTAAAACTGTGATGTTCGTTCGCAACAAAGTTTTTCGCACTGGCGTCTGTTAAAACAATGAAACATCTTATTTTTTAAGCCGTACGTCTAATTCTATAGACGATGAAGAATTTTTTGTGTTGTCTGACCTTTTCGAGTGGAAAAACACCTAGTTTCCGTACGAAATTATTCAACTTTCAACTTGAATGAGATGACCGAGTCCGAGTGTCTGTCAGAGTTTAGATTTCGAAAAAGAGACATTATTCCTCTATATTAAAGATATATGATTTGCCTTACCTAATTACGTAAAAATAAATTTATCACTTACGAGTTTGCTCGCTCGGCCTCCACAGCTGTTGCCATTCTTCGAGGCAAAATCAATTCATTAGTCGAATTTTCAATCAACATCGCTTGTTAGGAGAAAAAAGGAACGATACCTGGAATGACGAGGATAAGAAAATGCAAAGGACTTCAAAAATCGCTTAAAACAGTGGATTTATACCTGCCAAAGCTTGTGGATTGCAGGACGACGTGATTCTACTTTGTTTGGCGTCGTCGACGACACGACGACGACGAAATTTACTGGTCGCGCTTGCGCAGCGCACTGTAATTCACTTCCGGCCGTCGTCGTGGTCCTTAAGTTCCCTAATGTCTTCCAAAATACTTTAACGCTGAACACCAGAAAGATGATTCCTAACGATTCTTTCGAAAAATCTGGTAAGTCGAAGTGCAAAACGAAAAAGTTTGGCATGGGAAGCGACGTTCCCGCAGACGTCTTCTTTCGTTCTGCGCATGACTGAACCAGAAAATGGACTTCCGGTTCACCGTCCTCGTGTCTCCCGTCCTTGTGCTTAAGGTCTCTATCAGTCTTTGACGGCGGTCGTCCTCCAAACTGGTGGTGGCTGGGTGGGTCAGTGAACACCATTGACTTCTGTCACTGTCTGCAGCCTTAAGTTCTTTCAGCTGGATGCTGCACTACTGAAGGTTTCCCTTCCCAGTGTCCTTTTACCACTTGCGCGGGCGGCTTTGCTTTCTCTTGCCAGCCTCAAGATCTCCATGCAGCAGTTGACGGGGCATGCGAGGATCGTCCATTCTGATGACATGTCACATCCATCGCAGCTGAGCTTGATGAGTAAGGCCTCAATGCCGATACACTCTGCACGGTCCAGGACCTCTAGGTTTGTGATACAGTTTTGCCAACGCATGCCAAGTATGGAACGGAGGGCACGTAAGTGAAAGTTCTCCAGGTGTTTGACACGCCTTCGGTACAGTGTCCAAGTCTCGCATTCACACAGCAGAGCGGAGAAGACTATAGCTCTGTAGACTTTCCGTTTCGTAGAGAGACAAATGTAATGGTGATTGAGAACCTTTGTGCGCAACCTCCCTAGCACTTGGCTTGCTTTGGTGATCCTGGACGTGACTTCTTTATCCAGGAATCCGTCGTTTAAGATGATGCTGACCAGGCCAGGTAGTTGAAGCTGTCGACATTTGCCAGCGGCGTGTCATCGATGCTGATGTTTGGCTCCACGGGTGTGGTGTTTGGAGCAGGCTGGTACAGTACCTCGGTCTTACTGAGGCTGATGGTCAGGCCGAAGGCCTTCAACGCCTCCAAGAATTTGTTGAGAATCAACAGAAAATTCTATATGGATGCCGTAAAATCTATCCGGAATCTAGTCAGGAGCTCTGATTCGTCGACATAGTAGTTATATTGTTTTATCCATTGTTCACAAATGACAGACAAAAGAAAAAAGGCCACAAAGGTCAAATGTAAACGGCGTAGTGAACGTGATGAATCCGTCAATATTCCTGGAATATATTATTCTTCAGACAAAGAATTTGAGTTTTGCTGGAGCTCGGTCGCAGTAAAACACAGAACGTAACCATAATCGACCAGGAGAAACATAGCATCAAACAAACTTACATCTGGATCCCCATGACCACTGGATTTATTATTTGAACAATTACCACTGCGACGATCATACCTTTATTGTATTTCCGCAGTTCATTCCTTTCAGTAGTTTAGATGAGCTCGGCAAATTGGCCAGCTCTCAATGTATGGGTCTTCGTAGCTCAATTGGTAGAGCACTGCAGCGCTAACGTAGAGGCCACGGGTTCGAATCCCGTTGAAGTCCCAAAATCTTTTTCGGGTCAATTTGCAATTGCTTAAATTGCAATTACCACTGCGACGATCATACCTTCATTCAAACTTTAACATTTATTTACGTCATCAGTATTAAATTTCTGTCGCCGAGGCGTAGGCGTTCCTCCTGACGAAACGTCTCTACCGGCTGCATTCGCAGGCTATATTAATGTTATTATTATTATTATTATTATTATTATTATTAATATTATTATTATTATTATTATTATTATTAGTGTATTTTTTCATTATAATATTAATAATTTCCTTTAGCGATGGATTTCAAAGGCAGAATTACTTTTATGAGAACATGGAAAGAAAATCGAGGTAAAAAAAACGTATGTTTAACGTCCTACTTCGAAGACCAGTTTTTCGGCTTTGTTGGGCATATCGTTAAGGGTGGTTTGTATTATCCGGTCAAAAGCCCGCTTATTTTCCTGACACATGTTTTTGAATTCGTGTTAAATATGAGACGATCAGCTTTAAACGCACCTTTCCGGAGGAAGTTATAAGGGAAAACACTTTAGAAACAATACTTACAATACAATACATCAATATGTCAAAATCCATACGTCAAACAATCCGTGTCAAATCCATTTCGTCACGTAGCGTTGTGGTAAGAAATATTTCTCGCAGACAAAATGTGCGGGATTAGATTCTTACAAAAGCTCGTTTTTTCTTTCTTGTCGTTTTTTTGTTCATATATTTTCTTTTTCCGATTGGCTTCTCGCTAAGCGCTGACTCGAAATGGTTAGCTTTCATTTACTGTTAGGTTTGTCACTAAGTATAAGTATGTAAAACGAAAAATTAACTTGCAGTCGAATAGTGGTATAGGCGATGGATTTCGGTTTCTAGGGCCGCGAATGCGAATCCCGCTTATGCCCCAATTTTAGACTTAAAAAAAAGATTAGAAGAGTAGAAATTTTAAGAGACTTTGAGATTTTATGTAAGTGTAGCTAAAAGGGGAAGGTGGTTCTGGAGGATGGAATCTAATGCTGACCAGTCAACGACGCGTTTCCAGAATTTGCCAATAACACATTGCGCGCTTGCACAACAGAATTTTCCAAGACCACTTCGCGCGCTTGCTGAAAATTTAACCGGGACCATCTTGCGCGCCTAGTTTCTTCAAATCGAGAAGATTTGCATATTACCAATAACCAAAAACGAGAAGTCCAAAGACTGCTGCAAAGCTGATCAGAACAACATGTATTGTTTTTTCATAACAATATTTCGGCTGACCAAACCAGCCTCCTTCTGGTTTGCAGATGTTACTGAACCTATGATAAGAAACACAATATTATATAGATGGAGAATGTCGCAATAGAAATTGTTTAAAAGGGACAGGCGGAAATGACGTACAAAACAAAAACTGGAAAAGAAGAAATGATAAGGATATGGATTACAATAATTCGTCACGGCGGTTTAGGCCATTAGGTTCAAGAGTCATGGCCTTATCTATCAAATGCTACTCCCTAGCCTTAAGCACTGAGTCACGTGCAGAGTGAATTTTCTCTAGTGGGATTAACTACATGTCAGTATGAGAATGGTTAGAGTGAGAGAGAAAGTGTTCAGAAACAGATTTAATGTTAGTTTTGTGGACTGGTCGTCTGTGTTCGTTAAATCTGTCATTGAGGCGTAACTTAGTTTCACCTATACATTGTAAATTACAACGGTTACATTGAACCATGTAGATCACGTTTTTAGTGTTACAAGTAATATGTGAAATGATGGAGCGTGTTTCACCTGTAGCGTTAAAAAAAATAACTTTTAACACATTCCTATCATAAGTGCAGTAACATCTGTAAGCCTGAAGAAGACTGGTACGGTGAGCCGAAATATTGTTATGAAAAAACAAAACAAGTTGTTCTGATCAGCTTTGCAGTAGTCTTTGGACTTCTCGTTTTAGTAATATTTTGGCTGATTAGGTCTCTTCTCTAGATGTCCAATGTTTATAACTATCAGGATCTTCGTCCACGGTTTTTGCAGTTAATTCAATTCCTATATTACCAATACAACGTAAAAAACGATACTTCTCTACGCGGGGGAATTTACGGTCCGGAACCCTGCGGGGGCAATAATTTCCCGAGCCTTTAGGACAAATCACGCGTGAAATTATTCATTAACTCGACTGGTCACCATTTGATTACCCATCGTAATAATAATAATAATAATAATAATAATAATGCCAGTGGTTGTAGGTGCATTGGGTTCAGTGTCAAAGAAGCTGGCAGGCCACTTGGAGCAACTAGGAATTAAAAACCGAACAAGAACGATGCAAAAGTCGGCACATATCCTCAGAAAGGTGCTGGAAGTCTGAGGTCTCGGGATGAGACTTGACTGGATACTTGTCCCCAGGGAAAATCCCTGTGCTAAATTTTACATAATAATAATAATAATAATAATAATAATAATAACAACAATAACAATAATGATTTATATTTTTTAACATCTTCTTTGTAAGCTGTAACAGTTTGCCATCACTGTTTAGGGACCGACTTGGGCTGACCCCCGGGGTGGGGGTACTCCCCTATATAAGCCATATAGGTATGTGCCACCCCAGGAGCCCCAAAAGGTAGGGTTTTTGCACAGCTTTGGTCTGAAAACGGGTATAGAGTTGCCTCATTTTGGTCTGGAATCGGGTATGGTTTTCGAGGAAACTCAGAGTGTACTTGTTTCAATTATAAAATGAATAAGAAAGAAAGAGAAATAGGTGAATTCGAAATGGTTTAAGAATTTTTTGTTGTTATTCCAATCTAAGTAATGATGACATAATTTCTTAAAGGCCAGGCTAGGTCTGACAATGAGTGTGGATTTTAGAGGCGAGGTCTGAAAACGGATGAAAAAAATGACATTTTTCGGTCTGAAGTAGGGTCAGGATTTGGAGAACCGGGCAGCACACCCCTAACAAGAATTCCCATGAGTCTCCCCCCGGGGGGCTGACTGTTTTGGTGAACGTTAAAATTCGTCTTCGCCGTCTTTTTCTCAGGGAAGCTTGGTTGTTTTACACCCAACGGTAAAATTTTCCAGAAAACTAGGTACTTTACTTAACACTATAAACCACAGCCTCACAGTCACGCCCTGATCACTTAACGCTTCATTCTACATCAGTCGTAACAAAGCTTTTCCTCCTTTCTTCAAATTTTGATTTAAATTACCATCGATATTGTGCGTGTGAGAGAACTGACAAAACTCAATCACGGAGACTTTCTTTCCGTCAAACTTAGAAATATTTGCAAATCAATTAATCCAATAAAAGCACTTGATAGTGTATTTGTTAGGATAGAAGTCACGTAATTCATCTAAGAAAGGCAGGATTGAAAATGATCTGTTTCGATATCGAGATGCTTTTAATTTTGAGGTTAAAAAGCCAATGTATCCCAAAACAGTACGAAAATTGTTACAGTACAGGATGTGATGACTTTCCTTTTAATATCTGATTTGTCAATTACAACATACAACATGTAAATTTCAAATGAAAGGAGAGAGAGGGGAACATTGGATTGTTTTCTCCTTTAGCTTCAAAAGAAAGCAATAAAAGTTACTTTCCTAAAAATAACAAATGCAATAAACAAATTCTTTACACGTTAGCCTATTTAACAAACGATTTGTTGCACACATTCGATTGCGGAAGCTGGCGATAATTTCAGTGATTCGTGTAAATAATATGTAATTCTGAAACGTTAGAATAGATGCAATGTAGAATATAATGTTTTAAATGTTTCAACACACCTGGCTGCTAGATGAAGAGGCGTCCATCGATAGTCACTCGTCCCGACGTTGATATTCGCTCCGTGATCTAGTAGTGTAGTCACTATTCTGCTGAAATTATACCGAGCAGCCACATGGATTAGGGCAAACCCATGTCCGCCTAATTTATCGATTTGTCGCTTATCTGTTAGGGTAGAAAGCTCCGCTTCGACCAGTTCCATTTCATCTTCTCGGATAGCTTCAAACAACTTTAAAGCATGAGGTGATATAGGGGTTACGACCTCACTACTCTCCAGAACTGGATCTTCATAAACAAATGAGCGTCGTTGCTTCGCGGCTTCGGGGTTGAAACCTACCAAAGGTAGCTCGTATTTTTCAGTGGAATATTTCTCATCTCTTCTCTTAAAAGGGTTACAGCCGACTCCTCGCTGTTTTGGCTTGCCTTGTGCCATATCACCCTCCTCTGAAATGCTATGTTCCTGTTTTCCGTTCTCCATACTCTACACGATCGAAGTGAGAACATTCAGAACAGTGAAACCCTTAATTATAAAAGCCGCGCAAATCACGTATTCACGTTCACTTGCATTTGTTTTGCCATTCATGAATATTTATTTTATGTGACCCAGGTCACACAATTACATGCGGCTTATACTGGACTCCGCCCGCAAATCGCGGACTTCCGGTCGACTGCGACTGCGTTCAACCTTCAATGTCAGAAAAACGTTTGACGAACTAATGCCTGTAAAATGTGTGGTTCTTGAGAATAAACATCTTTCGCAGTTTTATCAAATCGATTTGGCAAATTGTTCAGTAAATTGCCTTAACTGCTTTATTTTCACCAATTATTGTGCTTTATGAAATAAGATATCGATAGTAAGCACTCTCAGATTAGCCAGGAGAGCCCCGGATGTAAACATGTTTGTGACGTCAAGATGTTTAGCTTTTCGCGCGCTAAACACGCAAACTAGACAGGTTCCCTCGTAGGCTGACACTTGGAAAATCCGTATAAAAATGCTGTGTCAATTTTCTTTTCGCTTAAGCTGACATTTTGGAAAGCATCTTTTTTACAAAACAAGAACTGATTGCGCGTGCAAAGTGGTGTACGACTTCGCGACGGGTAAGAATTTCTCTTTTAATCCGTGCCATATAACAAAGCGTTTTGCGTTTTTTTCTCGGGAAAGTTAAGTTAATATATATAAAAGCAGTAGAAAACTTTTTTCCTCTTTTTTCATAGCTGATATAAACAGTCGAGGGGTTGGGAGAATTCTCGACAGTTTAATATGCAATCCCTAGACGAAGACTCTTGAAATTTAACTACAGGCCATTTGCACGGTGGCGTCATGTTACTACTACGACCAGAATCCGGAATCCTTTTGAAATTTCGTTTTTCCTTTCATATTTAAATTTTGTAATCCCAGTGAGGTTTGAATAACAAAATCCCCAATTTGCGCAAGAAAGCAAAACCCTGAAGGATTCTGGTCGTAGTGGTAAAATGGTGTCCTTGTGCAAATGGCCTGTTGTGGTAGATGAAGGCCCTAGTGCTTCTAGTCTTTGACTAGTGTAACAACGTTCTTTAATTATATTTTGTATTGAGCAGTGTTGAGTCGTGTTAAGTGAATTGACTAGAAACATTCTTTAATAGTGAATTGAACTAAATTTCAATAAAGCATGTGCAGTCTTCAAAATGAGAGATTATTTGATATCCTAGTGATGAAGACTGCATCATTTGCCATGAAAAGGGTAAATTCTGATGGAAAATGTCACAAAGCAGAGGTCAGTGGGAAAGAGGGGCAAATCGGCAGGATGCCATTTCTGATGGAAATATGGGTAACCCCTACTCTCCACCCCCTTTCACCTCTTGAAAATTTGGGAACAAATTGTTCAGCGTTTTCTCAACATTTTCCAAAAAATTGGTTTTGTACTTTCTGTTAGTCTAGAGGAATTTCAGTTTCATATTACCCACCTTCCCAGCCTACACATACACTCTTAGTCCTCAAGAGACATGTCATTGCATCTCCTCTTATGCTGGAACTGTTGTGAAGATAACTATACACGTTTCATTTGAATTGTAAATATCATCCTTGGGAATTGATTGATGATATGCAAATGAGTATATTATATAATAGGAAACATTGGCACTCTTTGTCCCATTCACCTCACTTTGTCAGTGACGCAAAGGGCGATTGGCGACCCACCTGCCCTCCCCAGTGAGTAATATTTAAGCCAGGTTTCAGACTACCTATATTCAATTCAGTCTAGATCTTGGGCTTGTCCCGGGTCATGTTGATTCCCCATACCTTACTATAATGTCATGAATAACAATAACCAGGGATGAATATTATTCTCATGGATTTTTTTACTTAGTGATCATTTTGCTTATTGCCATCTTGTTTGATTGACAGGCTGCAATATTGTAAGGGGAATCAGTTACTTCTCACTTTTAGGGGTTAAAACATACATGTGCAGTACAAGCTGGCTTCAAAACACGTTCTGTAAAATACTCTTTAAAATTCAGGGCCGAGTTGTTCAAATCAGGGTTAAGATAACCCAGGGTTAGTGCAAGATTTGAATTCAGATTTGAAAGCTTAAAAAACATTTCAGTTTTAATTCTTTTTGTCTACAAGTTGATGATTGAAAGCTCCAAATAGAACAGAGAAAATTATCCGAGAAAATGCTTTTGAGCACAAGAAAGAGAAACCCAGGTTTAATTTAACCAGGGTTTAAGAGCGAATCGGCCCTCGAACAACTGGGCCCTGATGTCAACCTATGCCAAATGTTTCTGGTGCCAGCTCCTAGTTAATAAGGAAAACCTTTTGTACTCCAGTCTGTGTAAGATCTTTTGTGGTCAGTTATAAATTTGCTTTATGACCCAGAAAGGACACAACATATTATCATAAATTGCATAAAATGTTTTAACCTGGGTTAATTCTCAGTTTACTTCATTGCCCAATTATTCATGAATAATTTAGGTGCTAGGACGCAAAATCAACCTGGGTTAAACAATTTTAACCTGAATTTAATTTTGACATAGTTGTTACATATACTTAATGCTTCCTTCAGCTTCACTTCTCTCTTTTGTACACTCAAAGCAGATTTCCTTAAATTTACAAAAAATCAGCTGAAATATAATATTACACAAAGAAAATACAAGTTAATGGCCTTGGGTTAACTGATGAGTGCATGTTAGTCAGAGAAGCACAGCTTTTGAGTTTAAACACCACATACTGTATCAACTATTTGCTATCCTCTTAAATTAGATAGAAAACGGAAACAGAAACAGAAACAGGACTATGAATCACAACTTCATTCATAAGCACATGGTTTTTCTTACAACTATGCTACAATTGCACATGCGGGGGAATCAGTGACGTAATAGCATGTTATGCAACATGTCACACATACATTGCCCACAGCAAATTGAAAGGGTTTATATAGCTATAAGTAGGTGCACAACAAGCATTTGTCCCTGGTTTTCATTAACTGATAGCAATTAATGGGTAGCATGACAGGGACATTCTTGTAAATGCATTGTTTTCATGTGACACTTACGTGAAAAGGCTATAATTTAACATATGAAATCCAGTTTGCACAGTTTATTTTTGGAGCAAAAACTNACATACATTGCCCACAGCAAATTGAAAGGGTTTATATAGCTATAAGTAGGTGCACAACAAGCATTTGTCCCTGGTTTTCATTAACTGATAGCAATTAATGGGTAGCATGACAGGGACATTCTTGTAAATGCATTGTTTTCATGTGACACTTACGTGAAAAGGCTATAATTTAACATATGAAATCCAGTTTGCACAGTTTATTTTTGGAGCAAAAACTACCTATTTTGTCCCTTGAAAAGAAAAAGTAACATTAAGAAGTCTTTGTCCTCTCTCTACTATTCTAATTGTGCAGCTTCTTTATAAGGGGAGAGGGTGCCAGGACAGTCTTTAAACACCAGGCCTCGGTTGTTCAAACGTTGGATAGCGCTATCCACCAGATAAAAATCTATCTAGTGGATAACGCAATTGGTTTCCCTAATACTTATCCGCTGGTTAGTGATTTATCCGGTGGATAGCGCTATCCAACGTTTGAACAACCGGGGCCTGGTAAATAATGAGAGTGAGGAACACAAAAACAAATAAGGGCTCCAAATGTATGCATTTACATTGTCAGCTGAGCACATTTAAAAGGCCAGCTAGTTAATTATTTAAAAAGACCCCGGTTTGTTGTTTGACTTGTTTTTTGTAAGCCCTGAATAGTGATTCAAAAAGCCAGTCTCACAGACAATTCAACTTTGATTCGGGTTATGATGATTGTTCAACACTGTAGCGGAGAGGTCTTAAAATAGCTACAAGTGGGAATCTGTATTAGAATCATGTTCAAGAAGTTAACTTTATAAACTTTAAGTACGTAAGGTTTTACAGACCTGAACTGTTAACAGTCTATTTTTAAAAAAGTATCGTATAATATTAGTTGTCAGGCTCAGCCTTGCTGGTCTTGCTGAGGCATGATAACTAATATTCCTCTTTGTAAGAATTATAAGACAATGGAAATTAGCATACAATCTTGTCAGTTTTCTCGTCACTGGGTCAAGCAACTCGCAGGTGGGGTTGGGAATACAGGGCCGAGTTGTTCAAAGCTGGGTTAAGATAACCCAGGGTTAAGTGTGAGATTTGAATTGAGATTTCTTAAAGAGCATTTCAGTTGTAATTCTTTTTGTCTACAAGTTGATGAAAAATTATCCAAGAAAATGCTTTTGGTCACAAGAAAAAGAAACCCGGGTTAAATTTAACCCCGGGTTAAGCGCTATTCGGCCTTCGAACAACTGGGCCCAATCTTAAGTCACAACTGCACACTTGCAAAATACATGTAAACACTCTGATTTTTTTGGTCATTAAGAAATTCATTAACAAGTAAAGCTAGGACAAACAAGTCGACGTCTGAATGCCACAAAACAGGAAATAAATTAAGCACTGCTGTGTTCATAGGCAAATGGATAGAGTATACAAATTTCCATGCTTCAAGTTAATGAATAGCAAATCATGCAGCTCTTTTCATGGGTATAACAAGTCATTCTTACAGACAAGCTTACATGAA